CTGTTTACTTCTTCATCGCCTTGTCGTAAGGAACAGTTTGCCGTTTTATGATTTTCTTCAAGTTATTATTGTACTGAACCAGGTCTACAACTGGGGGATCCGACACCACTCAAAGGTTTGTCGCTGTAGACTTGCTGATATTTTATATTTTGGTAAAAACACAGAGCACTGGGTTGCATATGGATGCCTTGAGCACTCCTGTATTTTACCGTTGAACTCCCCGTTCATATGTAGCTGCCAGATTAGCCACGGTTGTAGCACGTAGTACGCTTTGAGCTAAGGTTATGATTTTACTGATTAACTAATATGATATGATGTTCCTTCACAAAAAATATTTTGGGAACCATACATTTCGTCTGAAAATTTAAGTCTAGGTATCAACTTGTCGGTGCCAATTTTGTTCGAGCATGCGCCAGGAGCCATTTTGAACGTAAAGGCTATATATTCTACTTTTGTATAATAACTCAAGTCTCATGGTCCCGTAATATTTTAAAGAGCATTGAGGCTCTCGACTCAGCAAGTTTAATTCACTGCTTTAAAATGACGAGACCGTAAGACTGGAGATATTATGCAAGTATTAAACTCCAAGGTCAAGGATGAGCAATGCCAGGATCTTTTAAGCTACGTCTGGAAATTTGCTTTAAGCCTCTTTTTTAAAATGAGAGCAACAGAAAAGTGTTTGATTTACAAGAAAATAACAGACCAATTTCGATATATTAAAATAAAGTTCATAATTGGTTCTGAGTCTTACGGGAACAAAACAGAAGAAATGTATTATTCATTGTGGCTGAGCATCAAGTAAAATGCGATTTCGTCGGCGCATGCGCCCACTAAGTAATTTTGTGATTTGTTTTTTACTGCCCTCTTTAAAACGACACTGTCAAAACACTCGTAAACATAACGGAAACTATGGCATTTAGGCCTCTTTATCCTGTTATATCTTTTATCTTCCTAATGTCGGTCATACTGAACTTATTCCAGTGCGTATACACGCATGATTTTTTGAAAAGACAAAGTGGCGAATTCTCTGGAGACCTTCATTGGGGAAACAAAACAGACAAGCTAAAGAGGTCTATTTTAAAATAAGTCGAGGTTAAGTTAAACCTTGGGAGGGATGGGTATAAGTTACGAGTCACTTAGACGTCAATGCAACAAAATAAGCATGCGTCCTCTTTGCTGGCTTGTTTTTAAACCAGCGTCAAAGCGTGAACTGTAGTACAAACCCCTGGACGAGAACGGAGTTATGTGGAGTCCAGGCTGAAGACAGCCAAGATATCCAGCTGGTATAAATTACGGTGTCTAAAAAGCCGACCTCGTTATCTTTCCCACCAACAGTTTATTGACTAAACAAACAAACTAAATACATCAGTGACAATTAAAATTAGAATCAATTGCGTTAAAAGCGATATCGTCGCCAACACACCCAACACCCAACGACCGTTTTCTGTAATCAGCCAAGAATAACTACTCCATTTATCTGAGATTATGGAAAACTGGGTTTTTACATTTACTTCCTAGATTCGCCATCATTCGTATTAAATCAACTCCTACAATTTTCGGTTTTAAAAACAGTGACGGAAATTGGTTTCAGAAAGATTTCACTATTTTAAATTTTTAAAGGTTAATTAGTCAAAAGTAAAACTTACTACTCAAGAATCCAAGGTCACAGTCTTAAGGATAAGCCTAGTAAATTGGACAAGGCGTAAAAGCTTACCATCTGATGACCGAAAAGATAAATAAAAAGTTGCAGCGCTTAGGGAAGGCACCGTTTATATGGAGAAAAGGTGTCCCAAGTACAAGAGTCACTTGCCTACCCGACTGGCGAGCTACCCTGCCTGGCGGATGAGCCAACTAACATTTCATACATCTCATTACAAAACGTGGCGAACCAGATTAGAAGAGAGACCCACCAAGCCGGGTCAACTTTATAAACGCTCGTTAAAGTTGACTCAGCTGGAAGAGTGATCCTAGGTTACCTGGGAAATGAGGTTCTCTTGATATAAACCGGACTGCTTTTTCCGAGCACTAAATACGCTTGAACAGGCTATTCATAGAATCAATTTGGTAAAGCGGTCGTTGGCTGTTCCTGGCAATTTCAGGTTTCCTTTTAGTATAATCCCTAAAAAATGTCTCTTACGGTTGCTTTTTAGATACAGTCAAACCCCGCTTTACGATACCTGCTCAATACGAACATCTCATTATTACGAGCTGTTTGCTTTTTCCCTGGGGAAAAACGCCCTTATATTTTCCCTAAACAGAGAGGAGAAGTCGTTACGTCACGTCGCCATGGTAGCAAAATTTTTGCATGACAACAAACCGAAAATTCACTTAAAAAGTAAATTCGCATTATTTCAAACTTCATCGATCTTATTCCATTTCGTTTAATTTGTCAAATGTTGGCGAAATTTTCTGGATTTAATCCGAAAGGACCCCATCTGAGTTTAGAAAAAGAAAAAGTAACTTTTTGTGTTGTGTTCACCTACTCCGCAAAGCGGGCGCGTGAAATTAGGAAGTTTCATGTCGATAAGAAATGTAAAAATAAAAAAGCGTGAAGCACGTGCAAAGTTGTGGTTTTGCTAATCTAAACCTATCGGTTTATTTTTTTTGGTCGTTCACGTTACTGTCGCCGTCGCGCGTCGTTGCTTAATCTCGGCCCTATTGCTGCCATCCAGAAATTTGGCTACTATGGTAACTTGATGTCACACTTCTCCTTTCTATTCAACCCCCTTAATAAGGACACCCCTTTCGTGACAGTCTTTCTATGCCCCCTGAGTGTTCAGAGTGTCCGTATTAACGGGGTTTGACTAAACAAATGTTACAGTGCCTGTTTATGTTTACCATTATGATTACTGCTAGCGTTTTCTTCATCTGTTTCTGATCATTACACATGGAGTTGGTACTAATCGTTATTTCTGTTGGAGTAAACAGTGCGGCCATTCAGTGGTTGGATTGGTCTGTAGTTGTCGCACATGAGTGGAGGCTTTCTACCATGTTCACCCTTAAGTTTCCTGAACTTGTTAAGCTGAAAAACCGAAAAATATATCACGTAAGGAAACTTACGACCCATCATCTGGTTTAAGTTAATTGTTTCTAGCACAATTTGAACTAACATTATCGATGTCTATAGCTATGCAACTTAAAAGTAAAGACGCCGGTGTGATAAGAAAATTTAACGTACGATGCATCATAGACTCTTTTAAACCCAGTTATTGGTAGTGCATTGGCAATAATTTCAATGCATCCTGTAATGGTCTGGATAGTAATTAACGCAATACATGCCTAAAATTGGCTCCGGTCATCGCTATTGTGACACTGACCGGTCTTAACCAGATTCCGTATCTTAAAGTGATTTTACTTGAACCGTAAAACGGATACTACCGAATAATGCAAGAAAGCAAGAGGTAAACAAAAAAAGACAACAGAATTAGTGTAAAATAGTGCGTAGCATTCTTCTACCTTTTACACGGTTCAAGTATAATCACTCTAGTATACTTGTAGAGTGCCATATCCTCTCAGTTGTAAAACTAAGTTATTTATATTAGTGAGCATTACATACCTGGTTGGTAGAGGCAAGGAGATAGTCTTTAACAACTATCCAGTGTACAGTTTCAAAGCAAGGAGGCGTAGTGAGGGAACCTTCGTAACTGTAGTAACATTCTAAAGTCAAACTTTTGCGATCCTTATTATTGCCGTGGCCATTGCCGCCATTGCCATTACCATTACCATTGCCATTACCGTTGCCATTACCATTGCCATTACCATTGCCATTACCACCATTGCCATTACCATTGCCATTACCATTGCCATTACCATTGCCATTACCATTGCCATAACCGTTGCCATTACCATTGCCATTACCGTTGCCATTACCATTGCCATAACCGTTGCCATTACCATTGCCATAACCGTTGCCATTACCATTGCCATTACCGTTGCCATTACCATTGCCATTACCGTTTGAACAATGTTGGGGAATCAGATCCATGAGATAAATTCCATCGGTCTTGTCAACAGTATGAGTTTTACCTGTAAAATAGGGTGACATTAAATGGTTTCCTTAAACGTTCAAGCAGCTGAGCCACACATCGTTCTGCGAGTTAAATATTTCAGCTGCCTCGAACCTCGTCAGGCGCGCTTACCGCCGGGATACGTAATCGAGATCGATTGGAGTGATTTTAGTTCTGCGCAAGGGATCATGGGAAAAGCGAAGTAGAAAACTCCGACCCTTTCCAGAGACCTTGCTCGCTCGCAGCCGCGTTTTCTACAAACGAGGCAGAGATCTGACGTGTTCTCAAGTCTTGTTTAAAAATTCTTTTGGCAAATTTGAGCTCCTCAAAGTTTCCCAAATGCAGCTCAATAATTTTCATTTGTTAGTTCACCTTTTGTACTATAATTATTTTTCTTGATATTTTAGTGATTTTTTAACATAGTAAAATAACAAGATATAACTAAAATTGTACCAAACTAAAATTATTATATATCATGTAAGCAACGAGAGCAACGACATCCTCCCTTACTCAGCAGTGACATCAGAAGATAAACCCTTTATATCCCAGGGCCTAACCAACATCATCTTCAATTTTGCAAGTAATATTAATGCACAAACAAAAGGAAAGGTCATAATCACTGAAGGAAAAATTAGATTTACACAGATTTGCCCACGGCAAATATAGCGCAAAAAAGTCCATCTAGGAGGGAATCAAAGGCAAAGATGGTAAAAATACCTCATTTGCATCCCAATTGACATGGGTTGTAAATTTGAGGGCAAATGAGGTATTTAACATCTCTGCCCTTGATTTAACTGTAAATTGCACTTTGTTCATGCACCATATTTGCACTGAGTAAATTTGGTGTAAAATAAATTTTGGGGGCAGTGAATTAATAAAATGATTGCCAAACAGAAACTGCGTTCATCTTTTTTTCAAATCTCTCGACCTATTCTTTAAAGAAATGCATGAAGATCGGTCTGGAGAATTTGTCCGTGGATATTGGAACTTAAAGGATAAAATTATTGCTGATAAACTGTGCAAGTGTAGGAAGAAGAAGGCGGGCGTCGCCGATTGCCAGTAAACAGAGAATAAAAGCGAGAAGGGACAGTAAGGATTTGTTCACATGTTCTTCGTTTTTAACCTTTTTTAAGTATTCTGATATACCTACCAACTTGGAGGATGTATTGTGTCAGAGTTGCTAACTTTCCAAAAATTTTGTTTCCTTTGGAGGGCGCCTGTAAATAGTTCAATGGATCGAACGTTATGTGATTTGCAACCTTTTATTTATCGCCCTTCTACTTCTACATTTTACGTAGATGCAGCCAAGGAAGCTGAAATATATACCCCTTATTAGCCGAGTTTTCGGTCCGTACTGTAAATTACGGACCGAGTTTTTTTTCCATCGATTTATGGCCCAAGCACGGAGCTCGCGGGCCATAAATCGATGGAAAAAAACGAGGATCCGTAATTTACAGTACGGACCGAAAAAACGAGGCTAATAAGATGTTTATTATATGGCTTCTTCGTGTTTTGGGGGACCGGAAACAAAAGTGCAGGACGCACAGTCTTTTGACAGGCGTCAAAAAAGAAAGTTTTTATTGGCGAACGAAAACAATAGCACATAACAAAGGCTTTCCGAGGAACTAAAAACAAATTCGCCGTGTTGAAAAAGTTTATTCGGTCAAAACTAAGAGCACTGTAAGTTTTAGCCCCCTTAATGTAACGCTGGAATATTTTGGAAACCGGACACTGTCTGTCTAGAAGTCGTTTCCGTCTTTCCTCTGTTTGTCCTTGTAAACAAAACACTGCAAAAGGCAAAGAAGCTTTTCAAGGTAAGTTTGTTGTCATTGTCGAAGGATTCGCTCGTTTATTGTTTTTGGGAAAACCTCTCTTTCTGCCAGTTCCTTCTCGTCTTCAATTTTGATCTGCGTTAAAATTTTCAAACACTGAGTTGCATTCTCTTCCTCGGTGAGGTTACGATTCAGTTTCTACATCAGCTTCGTTCTCATTAAAACAAAGCTAGGAAAAAGTTGGAAAGGCAAAGTCAACATCCTGGTCCTCAGGGTTTACAGACATATTTTAAAGTTGATTCTGTCAAAACTAAGAGCACTGTAAGTATTCACTCGTCAATGTGACGCTGGAGTCTTGAAAACTGGACATTGTGTCTGGCTCGAACTTGCTTCTATCTTTCGTTGGTCTTTGAAAAAACACTGCAAGTGGTAAAGAAGCTTGTCAAGATGATCGGGTGCAAGTAACAGGGGCACCCAACGACAATGTTCGGAAAATTATCTGTTCGGAAGACGATTTGAGATCTAGAATTTTCGGATCATTTTCTGTAAAGTTTCTTGCTTACCTGCCCCTCCTAAGATTTTCGAACATCAAAAAAGTGGTATAATTGCCCATTTGTAACGGATTTTTACCCTAAAAAGGTCACCTAGAATTTTCGGAAGCCTTTTTTCTGGCTGAAATTTTCGAAAAGTTAAATTTTGATCCCTATAATTTTCGGATCACTATACTTTCAGCTAGGAAATCCGAACAGATGAAAAATTTTTAGGGGATAAAAATAAGCCTTTATCTACCGTTTAAATACTAAAGTACGTTCAACAATGCTATGTTTATGTGGTTTTGAACTATATTCTCGTTGGGTGCCCCTGAGGTAAGTTTGTTATCATATTTGGAGAACGAATTACTCATTTTCCCTTAGGTAAAACATCTCGAATCTCTACCAGTTGATTTTCGTCTTCTTAACTGAATACTGCGATAACATTTTCAAACACTGAATAGAATCCTCTTCGGTAAGATTAAGAGTTAGTTCCATCATCGCCTTCGTTCACAAATAAACACAGTGTAAAATGTTGAAGGCCAAAGTCAACATCCAAGTCCTCAAGGTTGACAGGCGTCGTATCACTTTATTTAAACCTTTTTTCCGAGGTAAATAGATTTAGATTTCCGAAATGAGTATTTTCTTTAGAAATTATGGTCCGTATAGCAAGTTACGGATCGCAAATTGACCAATCGCATGGCAAAAACAGACTCAGCCATATAATAATATTCGTTATTGCCAATTTATTTAATTAATTTTTTGAACAATTTAATATCCATTCTTCCGTAGATCAATTTTTAGCGGCAGGTATATTCGGTGAAAAAACCTGGAGCTAGAAAGTCTCTTTACCCACTCCATTTTTTTTTTAATTTATAAGGACACAATAGAGGTATTCTTGTATAAATTGACTAACAGCAATTTTAATTTTTAACCATGAAGTATTATGATTTTTTTTATCTTCGGAGGGTCATATAAATCGCATTTTGTTGTAAAAAAATTGACTCCTGGAAACAATTTTTATTTTGACGCTAACTTATTCAACTAAAGAAACGCAAAACTTCGTCGCGATTTGTTCACATATTTGTTATTGCTAGGGAATAAGGAAAAGTAACCAGAGAAGTAGACAGAGTGTACCTTAATCCAAAGGGCGACGACTGCTAGCTCTTCTCCAGGGCCGTCAAATACCATATGAAGCTGAGGAAAAGAGCAAAAGTTCACAGTTATTAACAATGAGTTTATTCCGGTAACGGGACGCGTATAGAGACTACGAGGGATTCCATTCAAATTAAAACCTCTGGAAGGTCATGCTTCACTCATACTTTCGCATCCCAGCGTGTCACCCTTTGCGAAAATAATGTGTTGCAAACAAAAACTAACGTAGCTCATCTGGCCAATCACATTGCAGACGTAGACATGCTAACTGGTCAATCAGAAGTGGAAGCAAAAGCACGTGTTCGGCGCCAGGCAAAATAAAACCTTTCTTTTTAAGTCACAAGACAATTGGTTCTTGCACGTAAATAAGTATGTGCCGCACACAGGGACTGGCGGGGAAGGGGAGGGCACTTCCTAGTAATAGGCTAATGGGGATGTGCCCCTGGATGGGGTCGCATTTTTACCACTGGATTGACTATCATGAAGGGATTGCATTTTCAACAGAGTTACTCGCACATTTTCGAGATTTGGGGGAGCAGGGGGGGGTAAGAATAACCCAGTAATTGCGGATTTCAAAAACGTGACGATCTTTATTACATTAAGTGGACCAAATGTGCCAATTCATTTCAGGAGGACCTTGATAGAAGGCTTTATAAGGTAAATGCATAAACAGAAAAAACTTTGGAGTATGATGAAGGCGATTTACTATAGGTTCTTGTGTTATTTTCAAATTCTTTGTTCTTGTTTTTCCCTTGAATTCATTACCAATTTTTGGGTTTGAGCTTTCAATAGGGTATAAATGTTCGTTTGTCGTATCCTTAAGCAGTGTCAGGGTTTCCAAAGTTTATGGGAGTGGGAGCCTGAGAGAATTATGATAAAAATAGTTTTTTTTTACTTTTAATCACCATTTTTTAACAATTTTCTTGTGGGCAACATTTGTTTCAAGTAGATCGAACGTCCCATTAAGAGACGGAATCGTAAGGAAATACCTGCCTTCGAAATATCCATTGTCATCCTGGGTATTACCAACGAGGCAACTGAGCTAAGAAGGGGGGTTGCCTCGAAGGCAGAATTATAACGCCGCGCAATGTAGGCAAAAGCTGCATTTTTGACCATATTTGGGAGTAAGTAAGACCCCATATTTGGGTAGTGACGTCATGGGCTTGTATTTACAACTCGTGGTCCGAAATTTGCCTAGTCCCTGTACGGCGTTTTTTCAGGCTCTCTCGGTCAATGCATTTCGGTGTCGTATCCGAGACGAACGGCCTGGAGACGCCTAGACAATCTCGGAGTGCGTATGCGTGAGCATTTTTGCATTTTTGAAAAGTTCACACGGTCAACTGAAATTATCTATAAATAACTTTGCGCGTGAATATCCTTCGCAAAAGATCGGCACTATTGACACTATTACAAAAATAACTAACCTAGTTCGTGTTATAGAAGAACAAGAATATTACTTTGAATCGGAAAGAATACTACTGTATAACGTGCAAGTAATTTCTCTTTTAGTTCATCTTCAAATGAACCATTAAAATGATAGTCCTCATTGATAAAAAGATTTGAAACAGTAGTTTGTTGACATTCTACCAAATTTAGGGACCAAATTCAACAGCCTGTCCAATTAGTTTGATAAGCTTCCAAATCCAAAAATTAAATTACATAAAGTATTTCGAAGTGAAATGATAACGAGAAATTTATAGGAGCTAGCGAAAATAGAGAAACGAAAGATAGCTTGTCATATCCAAGAATAAATATAAACTTATTTCTTTAGTTTACCTTCCGATTCTTGATCAAATAATTTTTTTTGCGACGCTGTTTTGCTTAGCCTACAAATAGTTTTTCAGATGAAATAAAGTTCAAATTAGTTTTATGAGATAAATGAAAAAGAAAGGCCAAACGACTTTCAACAGTGAAAACGTGCATAGAATAAAAATGCTCGGTCCTTTGTATTCTCCGTGGCTGCTGGACATCTTTCATCAGCGCGGAAAAGTTATTGACAGCTCGCCCGCTTCCAAAAACTCCGCCCCAAGTGAGACAAAATGTCTCACTTCTCCGAGTTTGTCTAGGCCTCAAAAACTTTCTCGGACCACGTGACCCGAAACGCATCGGCCTCGCATAATAATGAGGCCTAGGGACTAGGCAAGTCCACGATTAGGTGATTCAGTGTGCAGCTGTTCGTTGTCTGTTCAGAGGACTCAACAGGTGAGCAAGGTTTAATACGATTTCTAGTTTGGAAAGGCAATTTAAGTGCTCTAGTTTGCTTTATAAATTGCGTTTAAAGCAGCAGCTAATCAAGGAATAGGATTACGCTCAATTTTTTGTCAGACCCAGCTTGTTCTTTGCAGCTCGATTTACACTGAGGTAGCGTGTTCGCTTCTCGACTCAGAACCAGGGTTTTCAGTGTTCTCTTTTCCTTTGTGAGTTTAATTTTAAGCGGTAGTTGATCAAGGCATAGGGTTATATTCTCAAAACTTTTATCAGAAACAGCGTGTTCTTCGCAGGTCGATTTACATTGAGCCAGTCCTCACCTCCCGTGAGGAATGCAACGTATTTGCCGGCCTTTTTTTTCAGAATTTATTTATGTCTTTCGACAGATTTTGTCAACCAGTATGTTTTTTTGCTGCTCGATTTACATTGAGACAGCCCAAAACTCCCGTGGGAATGCAACGGATTTCTTTTGAAGACTATCAATATGCATTTCAAGAGACTCTTTGTCCTGTGACACTCGCTCAGTAAATCTTTGTATATTATTCAAGTTTTTATTTTCATACCTCTGATACATTCCGCCCCATTCTTGCGCTTTTGACACATTTTACTTTACACCATTTTTTTTATGTATATATTACCAAGCAAAATATTTTTCTTATCCCTGATGACGCTGTTGCTCGGAATTTCCTTATTATTTTTAATTTCAGCAGTCAAAGGTCTCATTTAAGATCTTTCTAACGTTCTTTCTAACGTTTATAGTTTTCATACAATGGAATTTTCCATGAAACATAAGTACAAACTTGCTCATATTTACCAACAAACCTTCAAGCCATGTTGTTATTGTTTAATAAAAGTGGAAGCCTAGAATGTGCCAAAGTTGTTGTTTTGAAGCTGGGTGCCATCCGTTTCTATAGCGGAATCCATTTTAAACTTCCAAAATTATGAAAAAAAAGATATCGTGAAGATCAGAGTAAGCAAATTCCACAAAAAAAAGAAACAGATTCGTCTCGCTGGCACTTGCCGGAAGGTACCTCTCGTTATTATCAGTATAATTGCAGTTGAAAAGTAGAGCTAATGACTTCGGTCAGCTCCTAGTGTCGGAAAGGTAGGCTATCGTGTCCTGGGCGATCGTTTGGACCAGCGGATGTGTGCCCTGACAGACCGTCCAGGGCCTAGCTACAAGAAAACTGAAATTTTACAGCCACAGATAGGCACCGTGACACAAAAAGTTTCAAGTGGTTTTTGTTACTTACCTCACCAGAAAATCGTTTTTCATCGAGGGTGTGTTCAGATCCGCGATCATTAGCACAGCCAAAGTGAACGTGAAACTGGAGTAATTCAAAAGTTTTGTCCCCAGTGGACCCCAGTTAGTGAAGCTCCATTGGAATCAGCAATTTCAAGTTCTGGTGAATGTCCAGTATTCTTAAACGTTCCAGTTACAAGGCCCTTGCGTTGTCGAAAGTGATTTTTAGTGGACTGAAGCTCTTCTTGATGGTCTCGCTTTTAACGATGTTTATTGGGGATTGCTTTCGATGACCACAGTCCTCATATCTATCTTTCCAGTCTGCTGGGCCTAGCACTGTAATTAATTTCAAAAAAGGACTCATTTAAAACAAACGTTTTTTTCAGTTTAGTCCATTCAGTTTTGATCCTAAAAATCTCGCTGTGAAACATACCGTTTAAACAAATCGTGCCTATATGATAAAATTTCCGCCTTTTATTATGACGATCAGAAATGTCTCCCGAGCGTTAAAACTGAATGACTCACAAACAAAAATAACCAGCTTTAAAAATGTTGGACGGAACAGTTTTCAAATTCCCAATTGTAATCCTTTTAAATAGTCTTCAATTTTATCCGCCCAACCGTCCTTTTTTCCGTTTTTTAAGTGGTAGTAAATGTGCCTTCGCCACTCATCTATTTAAGTGTTGGTTGTTTGCCCGGTGATGGCCGGGTGGGGGTGCAATTACTAACGACAAGATTGGATAAATTCATGGTTCCTGTTCCTTTTTTTACAACAAGGTTTTCGATAGATTGCTAGTAAACTACTCTGGGTAATCATTATAGGAGCTGGCAACTCAATTAAGAAAGAAGACTTCGATGAAAACATAGAAGTCAGCATTTTTTTTTTTTTTTTTTTTTTTTTTTGGTGAAAGCGCATATACTAACCTAGCAACGGCCTTTCCTCTCGCCAATTGAGAATATTGATGGCGGGAGACTTTTTATTTCAACCAATGGCAAATAAAAACAACGAATTCCCATAACAATCATTGATTTCATATAATTTATTTCTAGACCTTGGAGTGCGTTCAGAAGAAATTGTGCTGAGCCAAAATCTAAAGGACCAAAAACAAATTACATTCTGCGTAGCAAAAAAAACACCAAGACGAGCACTTGATATCTTGCTATCTCGTTTTTAATTATTAATAGTTCATGTATAATGTTACAAATTGCCCCTAATATTAGAAGGACTTCGGGTTTCTCCGGTACTGATCGAAGGAAGTGATTAATTATCATTGTTGCTTTATACAAACCATCATTGTTCGTATCTGCATAGCCCCATTCTTCGTGTGTAGCTGAAAAAAAGGTACAAATTATAAAATAACAAAAATGATTTCTTTATCGACCTAATAACGATTAATCCGATAGTAATAAATTACAAAGAAACTCGTCAAAAAATATTTAAATACATTAACAATACCTTAGAAGTAAAAGAGGTAAAAATTCGTTACTTAACTTCGGTTTCAAGTGCTCTGAAAACGTCATCAGCTAACTAACAAACTTAAGGCCGACCGTGGCTAAGGTAGGCAGGTAGAGATGATTGATGGTA